GAAATAGCACCTCCTGCACGTAGGAAGTTTTATGCCTACAACTATGATTACAATCCCAACAAGTTTAGAGCTGCAAGGAAGATTCCCTGCAACTTCAAACTTGATGTAGGGACACACACCATTAACTACTCCGGACCCAAACTTAATTGGGTACCAAAATCTTCCTCCTCCTAATGCAGGAAGCCGCTAAGTACCCAGGTGTCTGGTACTTAGACAGTGGCTGTTCAAGACACATGACGGGTGATGCGAGCCTTTTGAGCAATCTAATTCCCTATGATGGTCCAAGAGTTACTTTTGGAGGAAGCAATGATTTCGGCCTCACTAAAGGGCTAGGAAATCTTGTGTACAAGGGACTAACCATCCAAGCTGTATCTTATGTTGAAGGACTCAATTATAACCTTCTTAGCATAAGTCAGTTTTGTGATAAAGGTTACTCCTTGGAATTCTGCAAGAATATGGAATCTCTCAAGAACATCTCCACAAATGAAGTCATTCTCACTGGGAAGAGAATCGGAAACATCTATGAAGTAATATGGAGCGATGTCAAGGAAGCATGTCTAATCAGCAAAGGTGACACTAACCTTCTATGGCTTTGGCATAAGAGGTTGAGTCATCTCAACTTCAAACCCCTCAACAAGCTGTCCAAAGAAGAGTTAGTAGAAGGTCTTCCTAAAGCTGCATTCAGAAAGGAAAGTATTTGTGATGCTTGCCAAAAAGGAAAGCAAGTCAAGTCCACCTTCAAGGCAAAATCGGCACCCTCAACTACAAGGATATTAAGTCTTATTCACATGGACTTATTTGGCCCTGTTACACCAATAAGTCTAAGTGGAAAGAAATATGTCCTGGTGATAGTTGATGATTACTCAAGATACACGTGGACAATCTACCTCAACAGCAAGAAGGAGACTCAAGATAAACTCACCAACTGCATGAAGCTGATTCAAAACCAAGCAAGTCAGACCATTCAGAAGATCAGATCTGACAAAGGCACAGAATTCCTAAATGAAATCATCATTCACTACTGTGAAGAAAACGGAATTCTTCACCAGACATCCGCAGCAAGGACACCTCAACAAAATGGTGTAGCTGAAAGAAGGAACAGAACCCTGAAGGAAGCAGTGAGAACCATGCTAGCAGAAGCTTCCTTACCAAAGAGGTTCTGGGCTGAAGCTGTTAACACAGCCTGCTATACTCAAAATAGGAGTATGATTTATAAAAGGCACAACAAAACTCCTTATGAACTGTGGAACGGGAGAAAGCCTAATATATCATATTTCCATATTTTTGGGAGCAAGTGCTTTGTGTTAAACAACGGGAAGAATCATCTGAACACTTTTGATGAAAAATCAGATGAAGCCATCTTCCTTGGATACTCTATGATGAGCAAGGCATTCAGAGTTTTCAACAAAAGAACCATGATCACGGAAGAGTCAATACATGTTATTTTTGATGAAAAACATGTGGTTGACAAGCC